AATAATATGATCAAATACCATCATTATAGTCTGAATTTGAAAAATACAGCAAAGTGATTATAGAAAGAGCAACACTGACCGTGCTCATCTGACCAGGGTGGGCCAGCATGGAACATCTTCAGGAAAGACAAGAGGGAGTGACAGCATAATCACAGATGTGCTGACTCAACTCAGAGTGAAACCACTGTAGCACTGAGCAACTTCATCTTACTACATAGTTATAGGAAAGCAAATTTATCAGATTAAACAGTGTGAAAGACACAGAGCAGGAGAAAAAGCATCACAGTAGAAGCACTAAGGAAACCACATTAGAGAACATTTTATGAAGCACTTGACATTTATCACTCACACCTACTGTGTACAGCAATGCATTAACAGGCATACTGCTAGTAGCTCCCATTTCGTATATGAGAAAATTGACACACAGAGAGGTTAAGAAACTTGTTCGGGCTGGGTGCAGTGGCTTATGCCTGTAATCCTAGCACTCTGGGAGGCTGAGGCAGATGGATTGCTTGAGCTCAGGAGTTCGAGACCAGTCTGAGCAAGAGTGAGACTCCATCCCTATTAAAAATAGAAAAACTAGCTCAGCATTGCAGCAGGTGCCTGTAGTCCTGGTTAGTTGGAAGGCTGAGGCAAGAGGTTTGCTCAAACCCAGGAGTTTGGAGTTGCTACAAACTATGACGCCAGGCACTCTACCCAGGTTGACAGGGTGAGACACTGTCTCAAAAAAAAAAAAAAAGGGAAGAAAGAAACTTGTCCATTGTCACACAGCTAGAAAGAGGCACAGTCGGGATTTAAACTTAGACAGTGTGGCTCTACTTTGTGCTGGGAGAAATTTGAGAAGTGTTTCATTACCCTGCTAAAATGAGACAAGTACAGCTTTCCTGCTTCTTCCTGACTGGGAGCAGGATGTGATAGTTGCAGCTACAACAGCCGTCTTGGGACCATGAGGCAGAAGACAAAAGGACTACAGGTACATGAGCACCTGCTGTCAAGATACTTATCCTGTGCCAGCCGTCACCCGTCTCTGGACTCTCATTATATGAGAAAAATAACTGTTTGTTTAACCAACCACAGTCATGATTTACCCTACATATAACCTTAAAGCAACATGTCAAATAATTATGATAATAACAATCATAGTCATCACTCACTGAGTGTGTGCTGTAACTCAGACATTATTTTTCATTTTCTGTGTAGTTCCTTCATCCTTATTGCAACTCTATTAAGCAGGCACTATTATTATTCCCATTTTATAGATAAAGAAATGGAGACATAGTTTTATCTGGATTGTCCAAGGTCATAGTTTATAAGAGATTTAACTCCTAAACCCTGACTCTTTAGCAAATGTATTCTAAGCAGTAAAATCCTAACATCTTTCAATGAAGATAAGGAATTAGATAGGGATTCTTACCATTTTAGTATTACCTTTACTATTCAATATTATTTAGAGATTCTACAGCAAATGTTTCTCAGTAGAGATACTATCGACATTTGGGAAGACAACTCTTCAATGAGTGGGATTGTTGCATATAAAATGTCACCATCTCTGTTTCCTGGGTCCAACATTGGTAGCAACATTCCCTAGACATAATGTCAGCCCAAAATGCCCTCCACATTTCCCCATAGGAAGGCAGTGTCACCCTAGTAAGAATGGCCATGCTACAGAAGTTGGCAAACTTTCTCTGTAAAAGTCCAAATAGCAAATCATTTAGGCTTTGCTGGATGTCCAGTTTCAGTTGGTTTCAACAGCAACCACTAAATTCTGACATTTTGCTTGAGATGAGCAGCAGACAATATGCAGATGAGTGAGCCTCTGTCCAGTCTGACCCTACTTCATGGAGAGGACCCTGATTCACAGAGGAGAGAAACTTGCCTGAGGTGATTCAATTAGTGAGTGATAGGTTTGGATTCAACCAAAACCCAAAGCGATTCCAGGGCCTGTGCTCTTATTTAAAACACTGTTGATTTCCAAGATTTTAAATGTTTTTCCCCTAGTAGTAGTAGTACTACCTTTTCTCCTAGTAGTAATGCCTCAGAAAATTTCACACACTCCAGAGTCTGGCCCTCCTCATCTGTCTGGTATTGACTGCTCCTTCCTATAGGGTAAGTCACCCAGGACTTGTTTCTGTGACAGCCTAGACCTGTGATACCAAGGACATACCTCATGACCATGCACATTCCCAAGTGTGGCTCTCCTGGTTGGCTCTGACACACAGCCATCCACAAACCTGGTCCCACACAAATATAAGATTCTATGACTCTGAACAGTTATTCACTGATATGTGGCTGTTTTATTTTGCATAGTTCAAGGTCTCATTGTAGGAACCACACAAATCAACAGTTTGCTCATTGAGGTGAGCAGAATAGAAAGCTCTTAGCCCATGGTCTGGTACATGGAAGAGCTCTGTATAAGATTAGCTAATATTAATAGAACTTACACAGTAGCAGGCAGAAACCTCAGTTCATGCATGAATGTTTGTGTCAATCTAGGAAGATGTTTGAAGGTTAAGAACAGCCCAATCAATCAGCGCAGTGCGACAAGGAAGGCGGTGATGGGGGATTCTGCTAGAGCAGTGCTTTCCAGCCTTTTTATCTCAGGGAACACTTGAACCTATAGTTAAACTTCTGTGGTACACTTAAATTATGTTGCTAAAAAAAAAAAAAAGGAATAAAAAAAAGAATATGCTTACTGTACTTTGAACTTCTTTCAAAAAAAATTTAATTAATGATCTTTAAAAATTTTCATGACACCCCTAAGATCCTCTCATGACACACAGGTTGAAAAATCACTGTATTAGAGTATCTCAAACCAGGTTTTAGAGATCTTGCTGCATTTGGATAAGAAAAGGGACTCACTGTTAGAAATAGGCCAAGGCCCCACATTTACCCACCCAGGAGGCATGCAGATGGAACTCATTCTGGAAGATAGTATGCAGGGTCTCATGGGATGTTGCTGTCCATCAGTATCTCAGCTACAACCTTGTCACTTTCACCAGCTGAAGTGAGGGCCGGGTTGCTATTCTCTTACCTTAGAGTAAGCCAGTAGAAAATTCAGCAATAGGGCAAAAGGGCAGGCCACCAAAACCAGGAAAAACAAAAATACAATCACCTCATAATGCTTTTCCAGGAGAACCAGAATATGTTGGTTCCCCAAATTTTCTTGTTTCTGTAGGGATATGTTTCCATCATGGATATTAAATATATTAAAGAAAACTGAGGATAGAGACTTTGAACAGATCGTTCATTCAGTTGTGTTTAAAAGTTGATAAATTATTTTCTCTTCCAATAGTTTTTTGACAGAATTGACTGTTGTTTTTACATTGTGTTCACAAAACCTTCAACATTCCACAACCATGTGGAATTAAAGATAAACTTCTTTTCAGAACTTACAGATGTGAGATAGCAATACTTGAGATAAACATACATTTCAAATTCTGATACTTTCAGTCAGTAAGAGTAAAATTATTAGGGAAAATGTAATTCCAGTATTATTTTTTCATTCATCTTTGTCATTATTTCTTATCCTGTTATAAAATAATTTCTTCTTAATAATCACAAAGCAAATATAATAAGGTAGATAAGGTATTTACCTGTGGTAGATAAATAACTTTACCTAATATCATTAATTACTAACAGCTCAATTATACTGTGAAGTGCCTATAATTGTCATGAAGCTTGAAAAATTCTTATTGTGAATTCTATTATGTATACAATTCATTTAAATTACATTAATTATACAGATTTTTAATGAAGCAGAGACTGAACTTTCAATTTTCACAAGTAGAGACAATGATCAAGATATTTATGTGCATATTACATCTTTTATCTGTTGACATTCATAAAATAATTCATTTCCTCAGACAACATTAGCACCTTAATATGAGAGGGGGAAAAAAGACAAACCTAATTTCTTGTTTGGACTTTTTAAAAGATTATATGATTCTTAAATAGCTCTTTTATTCAATATCTAACAAAATTCAAGCCACATCTTTCAGAAAGTGAAATATTTAAACTATTTTAACAATAATTTGTGATGTAGAGTGGTTTTAAAACTATGGTTGTTACTGCATTTCCAAGCCTAGACTTCAGAACCTGACTCCCCAAACTCAAATTCAAAGATACTCAAGCAAGTGACTTTAACAGTATGTGCCTCAGTTGGGAATAATGTTTGTCATTTGTCATTTTTTTTTGGAGAATTTAAAGAGTGGTATGTCAAGTTTTTAAAATGATACTGAACCCATAGTTAGTGCTATGTGCGCATGTATTTTCTATTTTTTATTTACCTCCTTGTGAGGATTTCAGTTTAACATGAATATTCTATAAATACATGAAGAAATATGGAAAGGAAAGATGAAGTGTACTTGGGTTATTGTGGTAATATTCACTTTGCAGGATTATATGCATATGTATCTAGTTAACATCTTCTTCTATATCTCCTAATAACCTAGAATGAGAAAGTCTTTGATCTCTCTCTCTCTCTCTCCCTCTTTTTTTTTTTTTTTTTTTTTGGTAAATGTACTTTGGAAACTTGCTAAAAATTTGCTGCTTTTCTTGGGTTATTTAACTTGATTCCTTCAAATCTGAACTTATTTCTGGGACTAGCCTGACCTGCCCTTGAGGTATGTCCAATTTAGTTTGAGGTTCTTCTCTCTGCTAAGGTCTTCCTGGCAAACCTCCCTGCAACTTAAAGCCACTAATATTGGTGACGGAAAAATAATTTTCTTTATACATATGTGTATATTTGGGGGATATGTATTTTTTAAATATAGGAAATAAGAGACCTCATTTGAAACAATACTATAAAACTCTCCTGGAGTGGAGCTGATGTGATTGCAGAGATGGTGTGTATGGAGGGTGTTGCCCAGAGGCAGCCAACGCAACAGGAGAAATAGATACTTCAATACATTAGGGACTACAATTTTTCAAGCCTTGAAAAACTGAGTTTGGACTTATAGTTTGAAAGTGACAAAAATGCTAAGAAGTAATTTTTCTTTTAGGTGGGAAACGAGGAAGGACGAAACACTAGAAGAAGAAGAAAAAGCAATGCTGGAACATTTAAAGCGAATCTGCACCGTGCAGAACTCTTCTGCCTCAGATAACACAGAGGAAGAGTAATCTACAGAAAACAGCAACAGCTTTATTTTAGGAAACAATCACATGTAATGGGGTAGGATTTTTACTATAGTCAGAATGAACCTCACATGTGCTGTGAAGCATGAAACCAATGTCTGAGTAATCTTTGTACCGGAAGAAAATTCAGCACATCAAGAATAAAGTGCCCTGTGCTTTTTATTTTAAAAATAATTTCAAATTTTTTTTCCTTAGTCTTTCTCTTTATATGATATTACTGCTGCCATCTCGCGTTCCCTTTGAATTATTATTTTTTTCTCCTTTCAGTCTTGAAGTATCTATGACAACAGGCAAAATTGTTTGGAAATTTTTTTCCTCAGGATTTTTTAATGCAACATTTGGATATTAAGTTGAGAGAAGTCACAAAGCCCCCCACCCTGGGAAGGAATTTCAATTTAATTTTGTAACAGTAGCCCAAGTCCCAGCCTCACTCACCTTTAAGATCCATCATGGTGCCGGCCTCCCTGCCCACATAACCCCTTCCTCATCCCACTTACCTTAATCGTAGCCACAAAGAGCATTCTCATGAACTCTGACTTTTGTCATATCTCCACTTATGGTAGTTTTCAGTCCTTCTCCAAACTCAGATTCAAATTCTGCACTTAGGCTTTCGAGGCCCATGCCAAATGGCTCTGTGTCCAGGCAACTGCCTCAGACACGCTCAGCTCAAGCCACATGCTTGCCATTTTTCCCAAACAGGAATATCTTTTCTCTCAAAATTGAGTTCAAAACTCATTCTAGCAGTCTTCACCCCAAAGCTCATTATCCACAATGTCTTACCTCTTTTATTTCCATTATACTGATACACAATAAGGAAACAAGACATGTTCAAGCACCCTCTCGGCCAAGTATAATCAGAGATATTTGTTATAGCCTTCCCAGTAGTGTCTGATACTAGATTACAAAGACCTTGAAGGCCTTGTGATGCAATGTGAAACCTCCCTTTATGCCTCCCTCTCTCCCCATATGCCAGCTACAGTGTAATTCATTGAAGGGGCAGCTAATGAACACAGCTGACTACATAGCTGCCATTGAAGGAAGAAGAAGACACTTGGACTATGGCATAGTCTACAGGACATCTGGGACAGGCTTATATCATGGGCTATTTTAGACTCTATGACATCAAACATCATGGTTTCTGGTGTTCTCAGATGTACAATAAATTGTCCAGACTCCCACATTCTGTGATTTTTATAAAATATGTGTAGGCTACATGATTTCCAAAGGAAAGCACTCATGCATTTTTCAAAGAATAAAAGCTTAGGGTACAGAGGAAGCCACCTTAGAAAATCTCTTACATTTTTTCTTTAAATAAAAACACATAAATGGCCATGTCGCCAGCTGCCTGCCAAATAGAACATTTTATTTTTAAAGATGTACTTTAGTTGGCCAGTATAATCATGATCCAAGTGTTTTAAGATATGGTTGAAATAATTTCTAAAAATTCAATGTAGACTATTTAAAAATTATAAGAAAATCTTAAGAGAACTGGACATTCCATCTAATCTTATCTCCAAGCAGTTACTATAACAATCAACATGAGGCAACAATTGACTTTATTCCTTACACTAAATGAGGTCGATGTATGAAATCTGCACAACTGTGCTTTATTAGACAAGACCCTAAAATGGAAAGTCAAAATGAAAAGAAATTGATTCAAAAAGCAAATAAAACAATGTTATAAAGTTATAGGATTTCACATTTGGATTGTCTTCTAATATATCTAAAGGTCATCTTTGAAAGCTTTTTTTTAATTGAATCTGTATATTTCTGTACTAATCCTGGGAAGCAATTTAGTTCCCCCAGAAAAAAATTCTTCTGTGGTTCCCTTTTCAAAGGAAAGAAGTATCATAAGAGGAGAATGGGATGAGTTTGAAAGAAGAGAAAAACATCAGAGGAGGAGCTTGCAGTTCGATTCTCTTCTGCATGGTGAAATTACACGGCACGAGTACAATAAATTTTATAGCTGAGAATGTTAAATGGCAAGCCGTTGATTTATCAGATCATTTTGACTTGATATTCAGTGATTTTTTAAGCATAACATGCTAAGAAGTGGTATTTCAAAATAGTTGTTTTTCACATTTATTTTGTATGTGTATAAGTTAACAACAGGAATAAAGCCCAACAGTTTATAACTCCCCACATGCTCAGTTACAAAAATATTATCTTCTTGTAAAATATTATCTTCCTTCTGTGTTCTAATTGTATTTTTATATAATTATATAGAAATATCTATTTTATTCAGCAGTTACTATATAGAAACAGTGATTTAATTTTTAAAATACATTACAAATAATACTGTGTATTTCATATGTGTTATATTGTCATTTCTACCAAGCACTGTTATAGAGCATCTAACCAAAGAATAGAAAAGAGAAATCGCTTGTTTTGTCTAATAATATGTGCCTACTCATAATGTCCTATTACCCCAGTTCATATATCCCTGGGCCAAAGAGAGCTTTGGATAGTTTGTAATTAGCATTTCTTACTATAAAAAAAATCTTTTCAGACCAGGCGCAGTGGCTCACACCTGTAGACCTAGCACTCTGAGAGGCTAAGGAAGATGGATTGCCTGAGCTTAGGAGTTCCAGACCCTCCTGAGCAAGAGCAAGACCTCATCTCTAAACAGACATTGTGGCAGGTGCCTATAGTCCCAGCTACTTGGGAGGCTGAAGCAAGAGGATGGCGAGCCCAAGAGTTTGAAGTTGCTGTGAGCTGTGATGCCAAGACACTCTACCAAGGGCGACATACTGAGACTGTGTCTCAAAAAAAAAAAAAATCTTTTCAGTTTTTTGATACTCTTCTTTACACTTGAAATACTTCAGAGTAAAACACAGCTGTATTCAGCCCTGAAAAGGAAGGAAATCCTGTCACATGGCACAACATGGGTGAATCTTGAGGACACTATGCTAAGTGAAATAAGCCAGAGAAGAAAAGACAAATCCTGTGTGGCTCTGCTTATCTGAGGCATCTATGGTAGTCAAATGCCCGTAAACAGCAAGGAGAATAGTAGTTACCAGGGCTGAGGGGAAGTGCTCTGTTTCATAACAATGTGAATACATTTAGCACAACTGCACTGCACATTAAAAATGGTTATGATGACGAATTTTGTTACTTTTTTAACCACAAATTAAAAAAAAAAAAACACTGTAGGTCCCTATCCACTGACAATCATTCCTAATATGCATCATAATGCAGAAAACTGTTGAAGTTTAAGAGAAAATTATAAAATCAGTATATTCAGCATTAGATATTATTACTTAGAATGATGACATTTGCTTTGCCTTTGAGAAATGTTTTCAACAGCATCATTAATAAAACAGTAAATGTTTGTTTCTCCAGAATTTTGATAATCCAAAACATCCATATAATTACTCTTTTCCCCTCAAAATATTGTACTGATTATCTGCATGAATAAAGATCTCTATTAGTTACTCATTATTGCATAACAATATTATTAGAACTTAGTAGCGTAAAACAACACACAATTCTTATCTCATAATCTCTTTGTGCCTTATATCCGGGCATGGGTTAGCCAGGTGCTCTGCTTAGGGTCTTACAAGGCTGAAGTAAAATGTCAGCCAGGGCTATGGTCATATCTGAGGCTCAGCTGGGGAAGTATTATTCTCCGGGTTCACATGGCTGTTGGCAACATTCCCTATTCTGCAGGCTACTAGATTGACAGCCTCAGTTTCTTCTTGCCAGTTATTAGAGGCTGTCATCAGTTTCTTGTCACATGAGTCTTCCCAAAATGGTATCTTCCCTGATCAAAGTGGGCAAGGGAGAGAATCTCCTTGAAAGATCTGTGTTGTGTCTTGTGTCACATGCATTGAAATATGTATAGTCTACCACCTTTACCAAATTATATTGGTTAAAAGCAAGTCATTCATCCACCTTGCTGAGGGGAGATGGGCGGCATAAGAGCATAAATGCAAAGGTGAGGATAGAAGCCACTCCAGAGTCTGTCCACCTCAAGCTGGAATTTAGGAACTGAGATATGTATGGGGTGGGGAAGGGAGGGTGTCATGTAGAGAAGTGGGAGAAGAGCCTAGAAGGAAGAAGAGCTAGATGTTATTATTTTTGCCATTTATCAGGCAATTACACTAAGCCAACCTCTGTACCAAACCTCTATAACTAGTCTCCCATTCAATCTTCTCTAAGTCCCTATCCACAGATGTAAAAAAAGCTAACTCAAATTTTAATAAAGATGCTCTGTAAAGTTTCAGACTTTAACACACAATATCTACCCCAACTGCATAGTACTAACAGATTGAATATAACTTTATTTGTTATATTCAGAAAACCAGACCTGGGCTCAAACAGACTGAATGCTGGAAATTTCCCAAACTGCACCCCTGGTACAGTCTTCCAGCATGACAGTGTAAGAGCTCCACTGATCTATCCCCCAATGAAACTGGCAGGAAAAAAAGAGATTTGTTTGTTTGTTTGTTTAAAGCAACCATTTTAAGGCTCTCAGGATAAACAAGTGAAGAAATAGCTATTCAAGAAAATCTATGAAAATGTAGTAAGAAAGGTAAGAGCCTGTGGAATTGGAATTAAAGCCACTCCTCTCCCTATTCCCAGTTCAGTGAAGAGACTGTTGCAGGTAGGAACATAGACTCTCTGTCCCACAGCTCCAGACAGAGGACTTTCCTCCTGGGAGGAACAGCACTTCTGCACTTCTCCTCCTGCTCCCAACTACCCATTGCTGAAGCTAAGCCCTGAGTCCCTGGCACATGCAGTCAAATGTTCCCTTCTTTAGCCCAGCCCCCCTCATAGAATGGAGTCCCTAGGGTGTGGTGCACTGGTAATGTCATGCCCTGATGGCCTTGGGCCCAGCATAAGGCACATGAGGAAGACAACCTTTATGAAGTTTACCCACCTTTTCTTTTGTGGTTTATAGCTTTTCCACCTTGTTTAATAAAATTTTGCCTATCTCAAATCATAGGTTATTCTTTTGTTTTACCCTAGAAATGTTATTGATATACCATTTA